AGGAGTGACAACATTATATCTGGTCTGAGAGTTAGTGTGTATCCAGGAGTGACAACATTATATCTGGTCTGAGAGTTAGTGTGTATCCAGGAGTGACAACATTATATCTGGTCTGAGAGTTAGTGTGTATCCAGGAGTGACAACATTATATCTGGTCTGAGAGTTAGTGTGTATCCAGGAGTGACAACATTATATCTGGTCTGAGAGTTAGTGTGTATCCAGGAGTGACAACATTATATCTGGTCTGAGAGTTAGTGTGTATCCAGGAGTGACAACATTATATCTGGTCTGAGAGTTAGTGTGTATCCAGGAGTGACAACATTATATCTGGTCTGAGAGTTAGTGTGTATCCAGGAGTGACAACATTATATCTGGTCTGAGAGTTAGTGTGTATCCAGGAGTGACAACATTATATCTGGTCTGAGAGTTGGTGTGTATCCAGGAGTGACAACATTATATCTCGTCTGAGAGTTAGTGTGTATCCAGGAGTGATTGTCTTAAAAGTTAACATAACAAGAATGAAAATTATAGGGAGCAATAACAAAAACAATATTGGGTCTGTACCTTTGTTGCTGCACCAAATTGTTTGAGGTTGCAAGCATACTGAAGCGTAACCAGGGGTCGAAATTAGTGCTGGTCCGGTGGTCCGAGACCAGTAGAATTTGCGTCGGACCAGTAGATTTTGTCAGCTGGTGGTGCAGTGGAACAGTAGAAATTTGTCGATAAAAATCACTGATTGCATCGCAATCTCGGTTTGTTTACACAAAAATTTACCTGCGAAATCAATTACATTGTACTGGGGGGTACTAAGTATTACAATTGATCAAGTTAATTAATATCTCGGGTGAGCTTCCTTCACAACAACAAAACATGTGGAAAAATTAAGTTAGATTCTGTACTTGCTCATGAACAATCAGAACAGTACAAAAAATCTACGGGAATAAAGGAGAGGAAAGCACCCGAGGAATCAAAGGCAGGGAAAATCATTCAAACTTTAAAGCAAAACATTTTCATAAGGTTGGTGAACATATTTAGAAATGTACATGCTATTGCTAAGAAAAGATGACAATTCACAGATTTTCTTTGGATGTGTAAACTTGACGTGATGAAAGGTGTAGATATTGGACAGACATACCGGAATGACAAGCAAGTTGTAACTTTTGTTAATTTCATTGCAAAAGTGGAACGTCAAAAAGTTGTTAATTATATAAATGAAAGTAAATTTATTTCAATTATTTGTGATGGTTCTATTGATAGTGGAATTCTTGAGGAAGAAATTATATATGTTCGGACTTGTAACAAAGGCATAATCAAAAGTTCTTTTCTAGCAGTTGGTAACCAAAGTCAAGCAGATGCCGAGGAGGTATTGAAAGTTATCACTGATTCTATGATTTCTGCAGGAATATTCAGATGGGAATCAAAGTTAGCAGGATTTGGGAGTGACGGAGCGAATGTAATGATGGGAAAAAACAATGCGGTTATTGCTAAATGTGGATACAGAGAATATTTATCTTTTACACAAAATTCAAAGCTGTAAAAATCTCATTGAATTATTTTTTATTTTACCAGATTCAAAGATGTGTCGTCCCTTAAATGGAGTGATGTTAACCAAGGTGGTGCCACTGACTTTTTGAACATTCTAGGACTTATGGATTTAATTCTTTCCCTTCCTGCTCATTCTGCTGATGCAGTAAGGGGGTTTTCTGAGATGAAACTTGTTAAGAATGATTGGCGATCAAAACTGCGTCCAACTGTTTTGTCAGATCTATTATTCATAATGTTTCACACTGAAGATGTAGCATCATTTGATCCGGTCCCAGCTATTGAAATGTGGAACATTTCTGGACAGCCCTCCAAACGACCCAGTCAGGCACCCTTTGGTCCTCGTGAGGATTGTGCTGATGTGGAAGACAATGTTGACATTTTTCTGTCCTTGATCCTGATTTTGATAAAGAAAATCATTGAGATTATCAAAGCCTTTATCAAAATCAGGATCAAGACTCTCTCTTTTTCTTGTCTAACATATGCAAAAGAAAGCATGAAAATAAAAGTAAACATCTATCATTTATATTAGTGTTTGTCAAATGAATGTCATTTTTGCAGGACCAGTAGATTTGGAGTCAGACTAGTAGATTTTTCAGATCACTGGTCCGGCTGGCCAGTACACAAAAAAGCTTAAATTCGACCCCTGAGCGTAACTGATCATTCCTAACTATAGAAGCCAAGAAAAGTTTGACAAATTTTCCTTGTACAAGAAATGTTGTAAAATTTCAAACTATCTGCAAACAGGAAGTGGCTGCACAGCAGATGTAAAACATTCTTACAAGTTACAACTCATCATCATCAAGCTGCAGACCAAATATAAATTCATTCCCTTCCATAGAAACCAAGAAAAGTTTGAAAAAAAATTTTCTTGTTCAATGAGTGTTGTAAAATTTCAAACTATCGGCAAACAGGAACTGGCTGTAGAACAGATGTTAAAACTGCTTACAAATCATCATTATCAAGCTGTAAACCATATATAAATGTATTCATTTTCATAGAAGCCAAGAAAACTTTTGACTAAAATGTTAATTTACTACTTATGGCTTCAATATAATTGTCTATTGTCTAATCTAATGTCTTGACTAAACTATAAACAAAATCCACCAAGTAACATGTACCTGGAAATAATATAAACAAAATCCACAAAGTAACATGTACCTGGAAATAATATAAACAAAATCCACCAAGTAACATGTACCTGGAAATAATATAAACAAAATCCACCAAGTAACATGTACCTGGAAATAATATAAACAAAATCCACCAAGTAACATGTACCTGGAAATAATATAAACAAAATCCACCAAGTAACATGTACCTGGAAATAATATAAACAAAATAATAGAAAACACAATTGTTACATAACATTTTCTACTAAAGGTCTTTGGGACTGATGGAGTCCAGCAGTTACTGACCTGCATTTGACGGTGTCAACTCAGGTAAAAAACATCTCTTATTAGCATATCAAAGGTCTAGACATACTAGTAATTAATTAACTGTAACAATTGTAATTGTATTTTAACACCAGTGAAAAATAAAGGGACATAAAAATCCCTATGTTTTGTTTTAACTAGCAAAAGTAAGTACCACATGTGGGGTACTGGTGTGGGGTATCTGTCACTGAGAAAACAACTCAGCCACCTAATAAAATAAATGTGGATAGTGTCCACATGTGGACACAGATGATGCCCCCGCTTGCATATCATATAGTTATAAAGGGACGTAACTGAAGAACGGTAAAAGTGACACTACCCAAATTTGAACTTGATCTGAGTTTTGTGGTAATAAGCATTGTGTGTAAGTCTCATAACATTTGGTTGAGGCTAACTTAAGTAGAGAACAGAAACTAAAAATTCAGCAATTTTTCTATTTGTAAACATGCATAACTCTAGAACAGTTGTGTATAAGTTTTATAACATTTGGTTGAGACAAACTAAAGTTTGAGAACGGAAACGAAAAATTCAGCAATTTTTATGTTTATAAAGGGACATAACTCAAGAATGGTAAAAGAGTCGCCACCAAATTTCGTACTTAATCTGTATTATGTAGTAATAAGCTTTCTGTATAAGTTTTATAACATTTGGTTGAGGCAAACTAAAGTTAAAAAACAGAAACAAAAAATTTGTACTTGATCTTAGTTTTGTGGTAATGAATATTGTGTATAGGTTTCATAATGTTTGGTTGGGGCAAACTTAAGTTACAGAATGGAAACTAAAAATTTTGATTTATAAAGGGGCATAACTCAATAATGGTTAAAGTGACACTACCCAAATTCAACTCGATTTGTGTTTTATCAGTGGAAGTCAAAATTAAACATTGCATTGTATAAAGCATTGATTGTAGTTGATTCAACTATAATGATGGACAAAGGAAGATAACTCCAATTTTAAAAATTACTTGATATTTAGAAGAAACTAAAATTTTTGCAATTTTTCCATTTAAAAAGGGATATAACTCTAGAACGGTTAAAGTGACGCCACCAAAATTCAAACTTGATCTGTGTTTTGTGGTAATAAGCATTGTGTTTAAGTTTGATATTATTTGGTTGAGGCAAACTTAAGTAAGAGAACAGAAACTAAAAATTTTGCAATTTTTCCATTTATAAAGGGGCATAACTCTAGAACGGTTAAAGTGATGCCACCAAAATTCAAATTTGATCTGTGTTTTGTAGTAATAAGCATTGTGTATAAGTTTCATAACATTTGGTTGAGGCAAACTCAAGTTAGAGAACGGAAACCAATTTTGGGACATACGTACAGACGTACAAGGGTAAAACTTAATGCCCCCACCGCGACGGTGGGGGCATAAAAAGACATGAGGGGTACGTGTGGGGTATCTGTCAATGAGACAACATCTCAGCTACACAATAAACCAAGACATCAATGACTGTCAAAAATCATGAGGAATAAATATTTTGAAATGGTATGATTTTTATATTTATTATAGGGAAACAAATTTCAACCCTTCCAGATTAATATTTGAATTTTTCTATTCAGATTAATCATAAAGTCTTACGAAAGTATTCAATCCATTATTAACCCTTATTTTAAGCTTCCTGTACGGAACCATCTTGGGAGTTATGGGAAAATAATCAAGCATTACAATTAAGAATTATTTGTCAAGGATAATTCTGCTGTCCACTTATATCACAATTATCTTCTGAAACTCTGATTTAGCAATAGGAGACAGTCCAATTGATCTTACAACTTATTTAGAAATAATACAGTCGGAGGCACTTAAGCACAAAAAGGAATTGCAACTACAAGGATTAAATTGATGTTTTAAACTCATAAACTTAAATGGAATTCTCCATCCATGAACATTTCATAAATCATTACTTCAACTTTCACATGTTTCTCCTTTACACTTATTTAGCCACAAGAATTTCATACAACTTCATATTAATTCGTGTACACTATGGAAGTGGACCCCTCCCCCATTATTCCCGTGTATACCTTGGCCTTATATAAATGTAGTGTGTATGTGTGACAACTAATGTGAACTCATAAATGGTGGGGTGCTATAACATGGTTTGAAGCAAGATCAGATCTTATACAGCCACTGCAAGAACCAAGCTGAATAGAGTCTCATACTCCTACCGTCATGTATAACCACATAGACATAGGTAGAGGAAAACATAATACAGGTTTGGGCAAATAACCACAGTTTAATTAATCTTTGCATCATATATAAAGACAATTAACAATGAAACAATAATATTTTCATTTTGCACAAACAGTCTTTGAAAAATCTGTGGTACTCCAAATGAAACGCCCAAACCAAATAGTAGAAAGTAGAAGTTACTGTTGAAGGGCTTTAGCAAAGGACTTCATCACTTGTTGTTGGTAGGAAAAGGAAGGGTCCAGATACCTTTTGTATGTATCACTTTTCCAGTCACCTTGGGCTTGTATTAATTCCCCTGGAATCCCACATTGAAAGGCAAATGATGCTCCACCCCTGCAAAAACTATGGCCTGAATACTGTGTTGGGTCAATGCCTATTTCCTTCAAAGAATCTTTTAACCTGGTAAGAAAGCTAGAGTGAGTTAGAGGAACAATCTGTCCGCCTTCTTTGAAAAAAAACGCAGGACATGAGGCTATATACCAGATGGGACTAACTTAAAACTTAACATTAAGGCCTGAGCTGGACAAAGTGGAGAATTTCTAATAGCCGGTAATGGTACCTCCAATGACCTTTCAGAGAACTGAATAGTTTTAGTCTTATTAAGGTGTAATATAACACCTTCAGGGTGAAATTGAATATTTTGTCTGCTTAAATGCCTATTTGGATCAAAGTCTTGTAAAGATGGCACTAACAAATTAGATTTCCTGAAAAAGGAAAAGAAGGCAACAAGGCAAGCTGCCCAAAAAGTCACATCTTTGGTGCTGTTAAAATTAATAGTGCCAAAAATTTGAAACAAAATTTATGGAGTTATAGGTAACTTTGCTTGCCTTGCATCGCCTAAAACCCGCCTTGCACCTTTCAGCACATTAGTGATATAGTGATGGTCAATGGGGGATGGCAGATTTGCCTCCAAATGTAAAATTCTAACAATAGACAAATAATTACATATAGAGTTGTATTGAAGGCGACAGGATAAATGTGCAATATATCTAGCTAAATTATCCCTAGTTAATGGAATTAAAGGTATTTGTATTAATTTACAAAAAGATACATAAGACTTTAAATAAGTCAAATATGTCTTTTTAGTTGACTCTGCATAAGTGTGACACTGGAAATTGAGGACAATGTCATCAAGAGCTGCTTTCTCCCTGGAGCCCGGTAACCCTAGACAAAAGAAAATCAAGGGAGTTACCAGACATATGTGATTTTAGATCATGCACATACAAAGGACAAGGCAAATAAAAACGCATAAACGATTCGCACATAGAGCGCACATGCAAACGAGAGATCATATCAGCTAATTATTTGTCAAGGATAATTCTGCTGTCCACTTATATCACAATTATCTTCTGAAACTCTGATTTAGCAATAGGAGACAGTCCAATTGATCTTACAACTTATTTAGAAATAATACAGTCGGAGGCACTTAAGCACAAAAAGGAATTGCAACTACAAGGATTAAATTGATGTTTTAAACTCATAAACTTAAATGGAATTCTCCAACCATGAACATTTCATAAATCATTACTTCAACTTTCACATGTTTCTCCTTTACACTTATTTAGCCACAAGAATTTCATACAACTTCATATTAAATCTGCTACTGTCCTCAAAACCAGTCAATCTGATCAAATAAATGGAAAAACAATAATATGTTTGCTTTTTCAAATACAGTCATGTAAACTCGGGTAACATTGGAAATTATTTGAAGTTTATAATATCTAAAGTACAAATTTTAGATATAAAGTAATAAAAAATATTTTGATATTGCATATAAGGTAAATTTCACCATAACCAATGAAAACAAATCCTGACTGTTACTTAATTGTCTCTAAGATAGTATGGTAAGCATGCAACAAGAACTTTGAAAATGGAACTCTTGGTCCATTTAAGTAATATATATATATATAGGAATTCTGCATCAAATTAAAAGTTTTGTTTTACATCAACATAAGATCAAATTTTCATAACCAAAAAAACACAACATTTTTTAAAAACAATGTGTGGGGTAAACAAAGATTTTTTAAAGATTTTAGTGATTTCAATAAATTTCTTAGCAGTCAAATGTTCCATGGCCTACACTTAGAGTATAATACTACACATCAATAGAATGTTTCAAATAGCTTTAATAATAAAAGGCGTGAGAATTCATTCAACAGGACTAATATTGCTGAATATATTTTCCCTAAAATTAATTACTTCAAAGAAATTATATCTGTTTTTCCTGTAGATGTTATAGCGAGGCATTATTGAAACTGTTTCCCAACTTGGTACGTAATTATAAAAACATCTGACTACTTATTAAAAGGAATATGACCTTTCCCTCCTTGAACACAGTTGATTCCAGGATATGACCTTTTCCTACTTGAACACAGATGATTCCAATCAGCCATATTGTCAACTTTCAACAGAAATCATACAATTAGATCAAATCACTTTCATTTCTTATTTGAATTGTTGATGCAAATTAAACAGTTACAGTCTTCAAACCGTGATCACGTTTGGCAGATTTGAGAGAAGAATCTAGTATTGATCAAGTTTGAATGAGGATTTGTGCAATCACCCAAAATTAATTATGCCATTAGCATGTTATGCTGGGAACTATTTAATTCTCAAATGCAGCTGAATGATTACCTTAAAATAAGGACAGATAAATCAAAAAATAGGAAAAAAATTTGTTAAATGGATTAAAAAATATATGGACTAAAAAGTTGTTGCTTTCAAAATATATGGACTAAAAAGTTGTTGCTTACAAAATATATGGACTAAAAAGTTGCTGCTTAAAAAAAATATGGACTAAAAGTTGCTGTTTACAAAATATATGGACTAAAAAGTTGCAGCTTACAAAATATATGGACTAAAAAGTTGTTGCTTAAAAAACATATGGACTAAAAGTTGCTGTTTACAAAATATATGGACTAAAAAGTTGCAGCTTACAAAATATATGGACTAAAAAGTTGCTGCTTACAAAATATATGGACTAAAAAGTTGTTGCTTAAAAAACATATGGACTAAAAGTTGCTGTTTACAAAATATATGGACTAAAAAGTTGCAGCTTACAAAATATATGGACTAAAAAGTTGCTGCTTACAAAATATATGGACTAAAAAGTTGTTGCTTAAAAAACATATGGACTAAAAGTTGCTGTTTACAAAATATATGGACTAAAAAGTTGCAGCTTACAAAATATATGGACTAAAAAGTTGCTGCTTACAAAATATATGGACTAAAAAGTTGTTGCTTAAAAAACATATGGACTAAAAGTTGCTGTTTACAAAATATATGGACTGAAAAGTTGCTGTTTAAAAAACATATGGACTAAAAGTTGCTGCTTACAAAATATATGGACTAAAAAGTTGCTGTTTAAAAAACATATGGACTAAAAGTTGCTGCTTACAAAATATATGGACTGAAAAGTTGCTGTTTACAAAATATATGGACTAAAAAGTTGCAGCTTACAAAATATATGGACTAAAAAGTTGCTGCTTACAAAATATATGGACTAAAAAGTTGTTGCTTAAAAAACATATGGACTAAAAGTTGCTGTTTACAAAATATATGGACTAAAAAGTTGCAGCTTACAAAATATATGGACTAAAAAGTTGCTGCTTACAAAATATATGGACTAAAAAGTTGTTGCTTAAAAAACATATGGACTAAAAGTTGCTGTTTACAAAATATATGGACTAAAAAGTTGCAGCTTACAAAATATATGGACTAAAAAGTTGCTGCTTTCAAAATATATAGACTAAGAAGTTGCTGTTTACAAAATATATAGACTAAAAAGTTGTTGCTTTCAAAATATATAGACTAAGAAGTTGCTGTTTACAAAATATATAGACTAAAAAGTTGTTGCTTTCAAAATATATGGACTAAAAAGTTGCTGCTTACAAAATATATGGACTAAAAAGTTGCTGCTTAAAAAACATATGGACTAAAAGTTGCTGCTTACAAAATATATGGACTAAAAAGTTGCTGCTTAAAAAACATATGGACTAAAAGTTGCTGTTTACAAAATATATGGACTAAAAAGTTGCAGCTTACAAAATATATGGACTAAAAAGTTGTTGCTTAAAAAACATATGGACTAAAAGTTGCTGTTTACAAAATATATGGACTAAAAAGTTGCAGCTTACAAAATATATGGACTAAAAAGTTGCTGCTTACAAAATATATGGACTAAAAAGTTGTTGCTTAAAAAACATATGGACTAAAAGTTGCTGTTTACAAAATATATGGACTAAAAAGTTGCAGCTTACAAAATATATGGACTAAAAAGTTGCTGCTTACAAAATATATGGACTAAAAAGTTGTTGCTTAAAAAACATATGGACTAAAAGTTGCTGTTTACAAAATATATGGACTAAAAAGTTGCAGCTTACAAAATATATGGACTAAAAAGTTGCTGCTTACAAAATATATGGACTAAAAAGTTGTTGCTTAAAAAACATATGGACTAAAAGTTGCTGTTTACAAAATATATGGACTAAAAAGTTGCAGCTTACAAAATATATGGACTAAAAAGTTGCTGCTTTCAAAATATATAGACTAAGAAGTTGCTGTTTACAAAATATATAGACTAAAAAGTTGTTGCTTTCAAAATATATAGACTAAGAAGTTGCTGTTTACAAAATATATAGACTAAAAAGTTGTTGCTTTCAAAATATATGGACTAAAAAGTTGCTGCTTACAAAATATATGGACTAAAAGTTGTTGCTTAAAAATATATGGACTAAAAGTTGCTGTTTACAAAATATATGGACTGAAAAGTTGCTGTTTAAAAAACATATTGACTAAAAGTTGCTGTTTACAAAATATATGGACTGAAAAGTTGCTGTTTAAAAAACATATGGACTAAAAGTTGCTGCTTACAAAATATATGGACTAAAAAGTTGCTGTTTAAAAAACATATGGACTAAAAGTTGCTGCTTACAAAATATATGGACTGAAAAGTTGCTGTTTACAAAATATATGGACTAAAAAGTTGCAGCTTACAAAATATATGGACTAAAAAGTTGCTGCTTACAAAATATATGGACTAAAAAGTTGTTGCTTAAAAAACATATGGACTAAAAGTTGCTGTTTACAAAATATATGGACTAAAAAGTTGCAGCTTACAAAATATATGGACTAAAAAGTTGCTGCTTACAAAATATATGGACTAAAAAGTTGTTGCTTAAAAAACATATGGACTAAAAGTTGCTGTTTACAAAATATATGGACTAAAAAGTTGCAGCTTACAAAATATATGGACTAAAAAGTTGCTGCTTTCAAAATATATAGACTAAGAAGTTGCTGTTTACAAAATATATAGACTAAAAAGTTGTTGCTTTCAAAATATATAGACTAAGAAGTTGCTGTTTACAAAATATATAGACTAAAAAGTTGTTGCTTTCAAAATATATGGACTAAAAAGTTGCTGCTTACAAAATATATGGACTAAAAGTTGTTGCTTAAAAAATATATGGACTAAAAGTTGCTGTTTACAAAATATATGGACTGAAAAGTTGCTGTTTAAAAAACATATTGACTAAAAGTTGCTGTTTACAAAATATATGGACTGAAAAGTTGCTGTTTAAAAAACATATGGACTAAATGTTGCTGCTTACAAAATATATGGACTAAAAAGTTGCTGTTTAAAAAACATATGGACTAAAAGTTGCTGCTTACAAAATATATGGACTGAAAAGTTGCTGTTTAAAAAACATATGGACTAAAAGTTGCTGCTTACAAAATATAAAGACTAAAAAGTTGCAGCTTACAAAATATATGGACTAAAAAGTT